TGATCCGATCGCTCCGAGATATTCGGCCATTGAAAAGGCCGACTCTGTTGTCGTTGATATAAGCGACGCGACGGACGGCAGTCTGGAAGTGGCTCTCCATCCGAAGAACGCCGAACTCGGCAAACGTGAGGTGAAAACTGGGAAACAAGTGCTTATCGACCAAACAGACGCCCAACAGATTGCAGTCTCAGATACCGTCACTTTTATCAATTGGGGAAATATGTCGATCACTGCTGTGACTAAAGACCCGAAGACTGGTTTAGTGACCAAAATTGACGCTAAACTCAATCTCGATAACAAAGATTTCAAGAAGACATTGAAAGTGACGTGGATTGAGACGAGTGCCACCATTCCGGCGATTCTCACATATTTTGAACACATTATCTCTAAACCTGTTTTAAAACCTGACGACGATTTTAAGAACTTTATCAATAGAGACACAAAGCTTGAGGTCCAGGGGTTGACAGACAGTGCGCTCAAGAGTTTGAAAAAGGGAGACATAATTCAAATACAGAGAAAGGGTTTCTTTATATGCGATTCGGTTTACGACGAAAAGACCATTCGGTTTGCGGGTAAAGCGGCGCCCGTTGTACTCATTTCAATACCCGACGGATCGACGGATTTAAATATATTCCCGAAATCAGTGCAGGAATGGAAGAAAAAGACACTTTTATTGAGTCAAAACACTGATAACAAAAGTGCTCCAAAAGGGGCCACAGATTTAGCCAAAATATTGGCAGACATTAAAGAGTGCGGCGATTCTGTCCGCCAACTGAAGGCCGATAAGGCGTCCAAAGAACAGATCACCGAAAAAGTGAATAAATTACTGGCACTGAAGACAGAGTTTAAGACAAAGGCAGGCATTGAATGGAAACCAGACATTCAATTGAGTCAAATCACGGATAATAAAAGTGCTCCGAAGGGAGCGACAGATTTGGCTAATAAAAGTGGTCCAAAAGGGGCCACAGATTTAGCCAAAATATTGGCTGACATCAAAGAGTGCGGCGATTCTGTCCGCCAACTGAAGACCGATAAGGCGTCTAAAGAACAGATCACTGAAAAAGTTAATAAATTACTGGCACTTAAAACAGAGTTTAAAACACAAGCCGGCGTTGACTGGAAGCCAGACATACAGTTAAGTCAATTAAAACAGTCTAACCCTTCGGGTGGCGATCAAAGTAATGACATCCAGAAGTTGGATGCTTTGGTGAGAGCGCAGGGAGAGGTTGTCCGCAAACTTAAGACCGAAAAGGCCGCCAAAGATGTGATCACCGAAAGCGTGAATAAATTACTGTCATTGAAGGCAGACTTTAAGAAAGCTTATGGTAAAGACTGGACACCAGATTTGCAATTAAATCAAACCAATGGTACAAATGGTGGCGGAAATAGTGGTAACGCTGGACAAGAATTAGATGATTTGGTTCAAAAACAGGCGGATAGTGTCCGACAACTTAAGTCTGATAAAGCAGACAAAGCTCTTGTCGACGAAGCCGTCAAAAAGTTATTACAACTCAAAGTGGA